AGGAATGCCCAGATCAGTACCAGATCTAGGCTCCTGGTTCCATCAGCTGAGTTCATTCATTTCTGAGTAGAGGGAATTCTGGCTGTAAAGGACTCTCCTGAGCTCATTCTACTAATCTCCCACCCTTTCCTGATGAGGTGAGAGGTCTGCCTGCCTCAGCCAAGGGTCCCAAGCTCTCAAAAGGGAGGAGACGCTCTTTCTTAGGGATGAAGGTCACACTGCAGAGGCACAGAGGCAGGCAGCACCCGTGGAGCCCCTGGGTGGGCTGGGGGGAGCTACCTGAAGGCCTCCCTGGTTTGGGTGAGGGGCCTGGTTACCCAGCCAGATGTGGACGGCGGGGCCACCGCATACAGTGATACAAAAGCGGCTTCTCTTGACACAACAGCCTCCCAGGTTTGCTTCAAACAAAAAGCCCTCCAAGGAGAGTCTCTAAGGAAGGAATGTTTACACAAATGACCCCCAACTCTGCCCCAAGATTCATTTCCCTTGCTTTTGGAGGGGGCACCCTGCCCACCTCCCCTTGGAAAGTGTCATTTACAGGGTACAGTTACCACCGTGACCGTGGCCAAAGCGCTGGCAGCACGTGCTCCCCTAGCCCTTGGACCCCATCTCGAAGCCGATGGAGCCCGTGCCCTGGACTTCTCTTTGTGGGTGTCATCTTTTGGCTTCTGCAGGCTTCCCCTCCTGGGAAGGCGGGTGCGATCACTTCCCATTTAAGTTCAAAGCTGGCTTAGTTGAACTCTGTGGGACCAGCGGATCCCAAAGCCACAGAATCTCGTGAGGGAGGATGTTCTCACTTAGCCTTTCGACGTTTGACTCTTAACACACCTGTATCCCAAGCCCTGGAAATAGTCACCCTGGTGACACTGACAAGCCCTCAGAGCTGAGAGAAAGCTGCTTCATTCTTGCTTATCAACTGCTCACTTCAGGCTGAAACGTGGTCGCAAAAGGAAGGCCTGTTTAAATAGAGTTCCTGCTTATTCACTAAGCGCTGCTGACTACTCTTTCCAATTCTCAAGGTAGATAATATCTCCATTACGCAGATGAGGAAACGGAGACTTTCAGAGACGTCAGAACTTAAGTTTGCCTGGGGTCCCACAGCAGGTAAAGAAAGGATTTGAACTCCTCACCTCTGCGACCTGGGGTTCTAGAACAAGCTATGGCTTGTTCAACAAACTGTGTCAACAAACTGTTGGCTTCGCTTTTGTTCATGTA